TGTTGATGCTGAACAGGTTGAGACATAGGCTGGAAATGATGTTTTAAGCAGTGTTCTAAAACGCAGCGAAATGCGCCGCGAAAGCGCGCTAATGCGTGAAACGTCGTCGGAACACACGGCTCGGTGGAAATTCCGTCAGGTCTGCATATTGGAATTGGGGTTTGGTTGTTTGTATTTGATTTGTTTTTGAATTGTTAATTGAGGTTTGGCGGAATGATTGTGGTTTGTGAATTGTTTGGTGGATCTTGTTTAAATTGTTTTTGAACTCTCAAACACCTCGCTCTCTTTCTTGCAAACCCTTCAACTCAATTCAATTCACTTGATGTCAATGAAATGGATGAAATTCTCGATGTTGAACTGGGTTTAGAGTCTCTGTTTATCTGGTATTCAACCGGGGGATTTTGGGCTTGATCTTCTATGGAGAAACTGTAAGAACATCAAGAAACTTCAGCTGAAGTGCTGTGAGAGTCTACGAGATTACGCCACCTTCTCGGGTTTCATTATGCGTCAAAAGGGTCTTCGAGAAGTGGAATATTGCGAACTTGTAGGAGTATTGTTGATGGGGTTTTGATGAGAATCATGAGATTAGCTGAGAATTGCGTTTCTTTGGATATTCTATTGGTTTATGATGGTGGTAGACTGGTAGTAGAGAGGGTTTGCATCAATTCATAAGTCAAAGCAAATGTAAATTAAAAAAACTTGATTTTCTGTTGCCTCTTGATCTTGACCCATAATCGAGAATTTGAATTTTAGGAGCTTGGAGAGTTTAAGGTTGCAAAGTTGCAGTCTTGTTACTGGTGAGGGATTAAAGGTTCTTGGGAGGGTGATGGTGGTGGGATCAAGGTTGAAACAATTGAATTATTTTTGCTGAATTCTCCGCAGTTGAGAAAGGTTCAAGTCAAGCAAAGTAAAATTTCCATGTTTCAAGAACATGGTTGATGAATAAATTCATCAACGTGGTCTAAATAGAAAAGGTGCACATATTCATGGCTGTATCATAAATTCATAATTGTTACAATGTTTCTATGGCTTTAATTTGTATATACTATGAAATAAAATGGCAACTTCTTTACTGAGATAAAATTTCATTTATGTAACTGTGTACATGACTCAACAATGTAGTAGCCTGAATTCAATTATTATTTCATTCAACCTGAATCAAGTTTCATGTCAAATTTGCGATGTAAGTCCTCAAGGTTCAAGTTTCAACTATCTTGGTCAGTTAAGTTTCAATTAAAATGAAAAATATCATTCAATTAAAATGGAAAATGTGAAATTAACCAGTTTTTATGATATAGTAAAAAATCTA